AGGGTGAGAACCAACGAGAAAGAGATCACACTCCCCCCCCCCCACACACACCTGTTCTAGGATTGGATACCATCCCCATTTCCCCTTTGGCCCACAGCTCCACACTGTAAGTGAATAAGTATTCGTATTGTTTACTGCCAGATCTGTTTTGTTCCTGACTGTACCCTTGTGCCCACATCGGTGCAAAGTACATGACAGGTGCTCGGTACGTAAGTGGGGAAAAGATGACAGGAACGAAAGGTAGGACGGGGAGGGAAGGAAGGAGGTGGGGGGCGGGCAGGGAGAGAGGGAGAGCCAGCTTCCCCACAGTGTTACCTAGAATGCTATAAATTAGACGGGACGCCTCAGTGTCCCTGCATTCAAGGAAATCCCATAGCGAATCCTGCGGCTGTCCTGGGTCCTGATTACGAGGCGGAGCGTGCATAGACTTTGATGACAGTTTCAATAAACGACCATGTAGATTCTCCTACACTGTATCCATCCACTTCCCGAAACCCAGGACAGTTTGTTTTTTTCATAAATATTTATGGGGTGCCTGGATGGCTCAGTCTGTTAAGCATCCGACTTCAGCTCAGGTCATGATCTCATGGTTGGTGAGTTCGAGCCCCACGTCAGGCTCTCTGCTGTTCGTGTGGTGCCTGCTTCGGATCCTCTGTGCCCTCACCTCTCTCTGCTCCTCCCCCACACCCTCTCTCTCTGTCTGTCTAATAAACATTAAAAAAAATAAACGTCTGCTATTTTGGTAATGTTTTGGTGACAAATCCTAGTCCGTTTTTCCTCCTTCACCAGCCCCCTCCTCCCTGTCATTTTCTCTCCCTACGTGTTAATTATGTTCATCACTGTGCACTTCATAATTATAGATTTATTTGTTTGCTCACTTGTTTACTAGGAGATCCCTGAGGTCAGGGGCATTGTTTTGTTTAAAGCTGGGAAGCTGGGTCTCCAGGCCCTCCAGTGGTGCCTGCACAGGCACAGAGTAGGTGCTCCTGCAGCATTTGCTGATTAAAATCTTTTTTTTTAATGTTTATTTATTTTTGAGCGAGAGAGCGTGAGTGGGGGAGGAGCGGACACACACACACACACACACACACACACACACACACAGAATCTGAAGCAGGCTCCAGGCTCTGAGCTGTCAGCACAGAGCCCGACACGGGGCTCGAACTCATGAACTGTAAGAACATGAGCTGCAGTCGGACGCTTAACCGACTGAGCCACCCAGGCGCCCCATGCATTTGCTGATTAAATTAGCACGATGCTCGAGCGCACGCGTGACTGCATCAGGGAGCAAGTGAATGACTGCATGGCTGGGTGGACACGAAAGAAAACGAAAGCCAAATGCCGCAGGAGGGGCAGCCCCGGCACTCACTTGAGGGTCTCCAAGGCCTTGAGCCGCGGAAAGGTGGCCGACAGCTGCTCGACACCCTCGTCGCCAATCTTGTTCTCGCTCAGAGAGTCCAGGCTGCAGGTGGCATCAGAGGGAGGAGCCGTCAGCCGGGAGCCTGGAGGCCAGCTGACCAGCAGCCCCCTCTCATGCCCACCACCCCCCATCTTGGACACGCCACAGGCAAACTTTTGAGAGCCGGTCTTCATCCCCCAGGGGCACCAGCTGACCAACAAGGGGACGAGGTTCTGACTCTCCAGGGAACTGAATCATTCCTCCCCCACCCCTTCACCCCCGGAGGCCTCCTGAGCTTTGACAGCTGCCTTAACCTCTTGGGATCACCATCGTGCAAGGGGATCGTGCTCCCCGACCCCGCCTCCCCATGGGGAAGGTGGGAACAGCACTTGAGATCCAGGACGGAAGAGTCTCAAAGGTCACGAAAGGATTCCATTGTTTTGTTACTGGGGATTCTCATCCATAGCTTCCCTGCAGAGGGGGCCTCAGGCCATTCCCACCAGCTGTACTGAGGAGGCAGCAGGAGAGAGGGAGGAAGGGCCAGATACAGAAAGACTTTCTTTGCACACCTTCCTCAGGGCCAGGGTTTGGGGTTTTTGAAACCAGAGGTCGCAGGGAAGGTACCCGGGTCCATACTCACTCCAGATGCTGAAGGGAGGAAAAGGCCTCGAGGATCCTCACCAGCTTGGGAAAAGCCTGGGGGCCTGAGACGGGGCCCAGCCTAGGAGGCAAAGAGCACACGTAAGAGCCTGGAACAGCCATAGCTCCTTAATTTGGCCCCAGGGTAGGCTGGAAATGGCACAGAAGGCAGGCTCACCCGAGGTCTCTTCCCCTTCCTGCCTCCCTAGGGCCTTCCCTCCCCTGACCCCCACCAGATGCCACCCGATCCCTTTTGTTCCAAAGCCCCCCAGGCCCCAAGAGGCCAGCTGGGCTCCTGGCCTGCGGACGTGGTTCCCACATTCTGGCCTGACAACCCACCAGTCTTGAAAAAACACGGCTTACTTATTTGCCATTACATTTCACTAACAAATAAAACTGTTTATGGAGCCCTTATTACGTGCCAGGCACATGCTGGATCCTTCGCTCAGATTAGATTTCATCTCACCCGCACAAGGACTCTGAGCTGAGGGCGCTTCTTAACCCCGTTTTACAGATGGGGAAACCGAGGCACAGAGAGGTTACCTAATCCACACAAGGTCTCACAGCCTGGATCGACATCCACACCTGACCTCCAGGGAATGAGAAAAATAAAGACCAGAGGGCTGTTTTGTCCTGCTCTTAAAATACAAGGTTAAGCGTCCCCAATGTGAAGACCGGTCTTTGATTCTGAAATGTCATAAAATGCCCCTTCCTAGAGAAAAACTTTTGCTTGTTTGAACGAACACCTCTGATAACGATGAAGAGATGGTAACTGAAATCTCAGTCTGGGAACCGCCAGCCTCACTAAAAGGTCATGAGGCGGGAGGAGTCCAAATTCTGATTTGAACTATGGGCGATACCACTTGGCTCCCGTGGGGCCTCGTGGGCAGCAACTCCCTTCACCTCCGTCTCTGTGTCCTCAGATTCAGCCCCCATCTCAAGAGCTTGTCGGAAGGATCACAGAATTCACGCATCAAATGTCGATTACGTGTCTACAGACATGTAACAGACAGAAATCCTGGCCCTCATGGAGATGACAGTCTGGGGGTGGGGTCTGGGGGGCAAGACGGATGAAGAAATCGGTAAGTTGTCTGGTGCGGGAGACAATAAGTAATACAGAGAAAAGTACAGCAGCGAGGAGGGTGAAATCGTACTTTGAAACATGGGAGTGAAACGGCCTCGCTCAGTGGAAACCAGAAGGAAGTGAGAAAGTCTGGGCGTGGGGAGTGCAGATACCTGGGGAAGAGCATTGTGCGCAGAAGACACAGGCCGTGCAAAGGCCCAGAGGCCAGTTGGTGCCTAGTGAGGTTGGAAGCCAACCAGGAGACTCACAGGGCCGGAGTGGAGTGAGCAGGGAAGGCGGCCCGGGAAACTGACGGGTGGGGAAGCAGATGGGGGCCGAATCCGGGAAGAACCCTCTCCCCCAGCAGAACCCACGGCCTCATCTCCAGGCAGATGGGGCCTGCGTGCTATCTGGCACCGCGGCTGCCCGTCACACACCCGAAATAGGTCTTTCCTTCCTTCCTTCCTTCCTCAGAACTTTCTCGTGGCTTCTGGCCTCCAGGTGGCTAGTCTCCTGGTTCTGGGCCGTTCCACTTCACAACTCTTGTTCCCCAGAACACAGTTTCGGCCTCAAACTAGGGGCTTTTTATGCTGAAAATACTTCAAAGCCAGAAGGGGCCCTTGGTGATTGTTTTCATACATTTCCTCTTTTCAGCAACATTGTTGTCTCTGCACAAATGTGGCACCTTGTCTCTGTTCAAAACAAGAAATGCTTGGCTTTTTCTGGGGCGCGGGGGAGCAGAGACCACGAGGGGCAGGCTGCTTGTGGGGGACCAGCGGGGGGCCTTGGGCAAGTCGCTTAACCTCGCTAGGCCTCAGTTTCCTCATCTGTAAAACGGGGGAAGATAGTGACTAGCTCCCGGATCACCTACGAAATGCGTTGAGGACACTGTAGGCGTTTAATAATTTCTTCCTAATCATTAGAGGTGACTTTTAGATCCCTAACCAGGATCGCCCACAAATTTAGCTTCTTCCTCTGTTGGGGCAAGAGCCCGACTGACCTGACTTCTGTAACTCCGGAGAGTTGACACCCTCTAGGCCTCAGTGTCTTCATCTGTACAATGGGGAGAGAGTAACCATGCCTGCATTCTGCATGGCCTCCCCGCCTGGCTCATTCCTCCTCCGTCCTCAAGCTTCAACCCTTCAGTCACCTTCTCTGCAAAGTCCCCTGTGACCTTCCCCTCAAATCTGTACTCCCAGTCCCTGAGTCACTGCCACTGACCGCAGGAGGTCATAATTGTCTATTTACACTAGACTGCAGCCTCACCGAGGACAGTAGCCTGGGTCAGTTGAGTATATCTGCCCAGTGAATGAACGGGAAGGAGGACGTTCACCGGTAAACGGGCCATGTAGCTTCACACCCGAGAAACTGCAGCCCCAGCCTTGACCGGCCAGGCCCCAGATGCTGGATGCTGGTGTCCAGAGGGGCGAGGCCAGAGGCTAAGAATGATCTGGGGGACCCATCTCCATCCAGGTGGCACAGGCCCAGCTAATGCTAGATGAGACGCCTCGTGGGGACCCGAGACGATTCACTCCTTTGCTTACGCGAACTCGAGCTTCTTTAGATCCCGGACCGCAGGGAGTTCTCCAGCCGTATCTTCTGAAGAACTTCTTGTCCTGGAGAGAACGGGCAGGCAATATTAACGGGGAGCAGGCTCCTCGCCTGTCACTGAGCCCCTAAGTATCGCAAGACGCCTGCCCCCGTGTCCCCAGATTCCCCAGAAGGTCTGCCTTCCTCGCGACTGTTGTGGTCCTGTTAGAGACACCTCAGAGGGGACGCCTGGGTGGCTGAGGCGGTTAAGTGGCCGACTTCCGCTCAGATCATGACTTCACGGTTCGTGAGTTCCAGCCCTGCATCGGGCTCTCTGCTGTCAGCACAGAGCCTGCTTCAGATCCTGTCTCCCTCTCTCTCTGCTTTTCTCTCTCTCTCTCAAAAAAATAAACATTAAAAAAAAAAAAACAAAAACACAACAAAAAACCTCAGACCAGGACATTAGGAAGGATTGCTGCAGGCTTCATGGAAAAGAGCCTCCGGGTAAGCACTTAACAATACCCAGCCCAGACAGCATGTAGTAGGTGCTCAAACAATGGATGTGGGCAGAATGAGAAAACGTTGTTCTGTCCTCAAGTTTCCTCTGCCCCCTGGACCTTAGAGCTCTGTCATCCATAAAATGGGAAGGATCTGGGCCCCGGCTGCCTTGAAAGGTGGCCATCGATATCACTTCTGTTACCAGAAGGAGAAGGCAATTCCTTAACTCTAAGCAGGGAATCTCTCGCTGGCTTTGGCTGAGAACGAATGGGGTTCGTGGTGGCAAGTTTTGGATGGCACACAGCGTGATCGGTCCTGGAGGCTCCGCCCGGGAGGGGGAGGGGTGGCCGCGGCCTGGAGGAGGGCACAGGATGTCCCAAAGGAGAGGAGGAACACTAACGGCCAAGTTAATATTGGGTCCTGTCTGTCCTCAACCTGCATGTTCTGAGCCGCCTCTCATGCCTCTTCCTCCTCACCTCTGGATCTGCACGAGGTTGCCCAGATCTTCCACATCCTTCACGGACTTGGCCTTGAAAGGCTCGATGGTGAACTTCTCCTCCACCGCCCGGAGCAGCTTGGCCTCCCCACGCTGCTGTAGAGACTCCCACAGCCCCACCATGTCACTCAGCGCAGCCCTGTGGAGGAAAGGCCTCAGACCCAGGCACAAGGACCGGGCTAGACCATAACGGAGGGGCAGCTCCATGAAGGGACCTCCTACCCATTCAGATACTTTCTGTTCCTCAATTGCATCCCTACTTCAGGAAGCCCCCCAAGACCACTCCAGCTCTTATTGATTCCTCCCTTTTCTCAACTCTCCCAGTGGTTTTGTTTCCCTTTTTGCTTTGGCTACCAGGAAGCCCCGTGCTAAAATCTTGGTGGAACCACTACAGTGGTTTAGGACCTTACAGCTTGGGTAATGTACGTTTAGGCGGCTGGTGGGAGAGATTCTCTGTAGATTAGGCTGAAGTGATCAAACACATCCCTGAAGGATTTAAATGAGCCAAGTTAAGGAATCAAAGGGCTACGTAGAGTGTGGTCAGATGTCAGTTCTTGAATAGAAAGCAGAATGGAAAAGGAGAGAATGGAGGTGGGGGGAGGCCAAGGGGTGGCTGTGGCCTCGATCTCCCCATAACAAAATGGTGGCTTGATTAGGGGACAGCGAGAAGAAAATGAATTTGAGCCCAGATCAGTCTTGGATTCTAAATGTGGCCCCGTGCCCGGCACGTGACAGGCCTCCAAATAGTGGTGGAAGAGGCTGCTCTTCCCTCGCTGTGTGACCTGGGGAGAGCTGCTATCCCTCTCTGAGCCTTGACTTCCTCATCTTAAAAAAATGGAAGGAATCACCCCTGCCCCTGCCCCTGCCCCTGCCCCTGCCCCTGCCCGGCTACGGTGCATAGGAAGTGACGCCCCGCAGAGCCAGCACTGGGCACAGCCCCAAGACCGTAAGCGGAAGCCCCCTCCCTCGGCCCCTGCCCCCACCTGAAATGGGTGACGCAGCTGAGTCCCACGAGGCTCCCCAGTCCAGGGGGGTCAATGCCAGTGCTGCAGAGGTCCAGGGAGAAGTCTCGGCCCGCCGCCTCCAAGGCGCTGCCCAGGACATAGGTGTGGGGAGGCGTGAGCCGGGTGCCCACGAAGGAGAGGCGGCCGGGGAGCCCCTGCACCACGTGCTGCCAGAGCCCAGCGTCCAAAGTCTCACGGGTGCAGTGCAGCAGCTCCAGCAGCTGTCCGGCCCGCAGCGTCCCCGGCTGCAGCCGCTTCAGGTACCTGGTGAGCACTTTCTGCTTCCTGTCCTTCAGGGTGGCCGCAGCAGGTCCCGCCAGGGCCCCGAGGCAGTCGGCGTGCGGCTGGAAAACCAGCCCCGCCAGGAACCGCGGCGCGCCCTCCAGCCAGTTGTCGTAGGGCCTCTTCTTCCTCGGGGTCAACGCCAAGTACTGCGGCAGCTCCTTGTCCTTGATGTCGCTGCTCAGGGCCAGCCACACGGCCCCCAGGAAGCACTGCAGAAGGAAGCTGGAGAAGGCCAGCCCCACCGCCGCGGCCCCTGGGGCGGGCTGCACCAAGCCCTTGGCCACGGCCCAGGCCCTCGCCTCCGCCGACGGGAACTGGCTCTCCAGCAAGGTGCCCCGGCGTCTGCGGCCCAGCTCCCAGGCCAGCCTGGCCAGTCCCGCCAGGGCCCCCGGGGGGCTGTCGCGGGCGGCAGGGCCGAGCAGGCCCACGTAGAGTCCCGTGAGCGTGGAGGGCAGCTCCGTCTCGCCCCCCAGCTCCAGGAGGGCCTCGGACAGCTGGCCCACAGCCCGGCACAAAGCGGGGCTGTGGCAGTGGCTGAGGAGGAAAGGCTGACCCTGGAGGAGTTCCAGGGCTCTCTCTTGGCGCTCGGTCGCCCCTGCACGCTCCAAGTAGCGCGTCAGGTAGGTCTTGGCCTGCTCGGCTGAGAAGCCGGCCACCTCGAACAGAGCGTCGGCCTTGCTCAGGCTCTGGGCCAGGCGGCCCCGGGGCCGGGCCGTGAGCAGCAGGGTGCAGCCCCGCAGCAGCTTACGCTGGAAGAGGCCCGCCAGCAGTCCCCGGACGGAGTGGGGCTCTGTGCACACGGGTCCACATGCGCTGTGCAGGAGGCCGTCTTGGCCTTCGAGGCCCTCGGAGGCATCCAGGATGAGCAGAACCCGGTCGGGCCTCCTCCAGACGTAGCTGAAGACCTCATCGTCCACCGGCAGCGGCCGGGGGCCCAGGGAGAACAGCAGATCCTGCAGGCGGTAGGTGTCCCCCCCACGGTCCGAACAGTGGCAGGGGAGGTAGAAGACGAAGTCGTACTGGGGCAGCTGGCCGCGGGCCCAGGCCCGGCTCGCTTCCCGGGCCCAGCGACTCTTCCCCTGCCCCGCTTTACCCAGCACAGCGATCACCTGCGTCTCCCGCGGCCGCCGGCGGTCACCCCCCGCCAGCAGCACCTCGGCCAGGCCCCCGCGGGCCGGCTGCCGCTCTGCCCAGTCCGGGGTGGCCAGCTCCCTCTCCTGGCTTTTGCTGCTGCTCCTTTCCAGCCGCGCCCTCACCAGTTCCACCTCCACCAGGATGCCTTCCGGGCCTGCGGGCTCAGCCTGGTACATGTCCCGAAGGGCGCTGCAGAACTTCTCCACCCGCTCTGTGAAGACCCAAGGGTGCGTGTGTGTTGGGCGGGGAGGGTGCCGGTGTCAGGGGCGGCCACCACGAGGACAGCCCAGGGACCAGCCCGACCGTCATCAGCTTCTTCACCCACTGCCTGCTTTGTTACTGCTTCATTCAGTTACCCAGACATCTGTCCGTCCGTTCACTTCTGCACCCATCATTCATTCGCTCGTCTTCTCTCTCATTTATCCATCCACCTGTGCATTTACTCACTAACCCCCTTCTGCTCTTGCTCGCTCGCGACAGGAAGGCCACAGGGCAGGGGGGCGGGGTTAAGGGTTAAGACAGTGGAATCCGCGTATCTGGTTCAAACCCCAGCTCTACCGCTAATTCGCGCGACCTTGAGCCTGTTACGGACCCCGCTACGTCTCGGGGGATGGCCCCGGTCGCTCCTCACGTGCAAAGCGGGGACAACCTTAGGATTGTTCACGGCATGCGTGATTCGATCTATCTACCGTGCTTGGGAGGGTACGCGGGACGGCATAAGACATAGGGACTGGGCCATGCCCCCATCCCACCTTCCATCAGTCCCCTCCCCAGTGTCGGCTCCTTCCTTCGCCCACTGACCCAATTACCACTCTCCCCTCATTCATGCCCTCAGCCTGGAAAACAAGAGGGGTGGGGCAGAATCAGATGAGCAAGCCAACAAAGACAGGCTGAGTGAATGAGGGAAGTGGGGTCCCCCCGCCCCGGGGCACAGAGAGTCAGCCAGCACTCACCAGGCCATTTGGGGAGCTGGCCGGAGACCTCGTGAGCTGCCGGGGATCGGGTAGGGGACATCTGCTCCTCTGAAGATGAAAAAGTTAGGGTAAGGGGCGTGCCCTGGGACTGCCCCATCTTCCAGGGGGGCATGCGGTCCCCTGAGCGTCCCAAAGGCAGAACGGACAGGGGAGGAGTGTCCCCCAGGCAAAGGTCATAAGGTGGTGACCTAAGGTTGTATCCTACCCAAAGACAGCTTTCTGGGCCAGCTGCACTGTTAAAAATTTCACCAAAGTTGTAAAACTCACAATAGCTATGGAAAAATCGAGGTTTGCAGACTCTGCTGACAATTCAGAAGATCTGGCCACGCTGGGGCTGCTTTTCTGCCGGGGGGCAATTAGCTAAAGGCCGCGACAGTCCTCGCACACCCTCCCATGCCCCCCATTCCCTGGAGACGCTCCCTGCCTCATTTTATCCATAAATGCAGCCTGCTTGTCTCTGTGGGTAAGCTCAGCTCACGGACCTGACCGGGGCGATTCCTTCCCCCAGCGCCTCAGTCCTGCTTCCTGTGACTCTCCCGGGCCGCAAGCGTCCTTACCTGTCACATCTGCACGGGAGGTCAGAGCTGGTTCCGGCATTCCGGGGAGGTCAGCGGCAGACGGGGCAAAGGGGCTGGTGGAGCCGGGCCGTTCTGGGGATTTGGGGAGGCTGTGTATGGCGGGGCTGCTGGAAGGAAGCACCTGGCTGGCCTGGGGCACCTCACCTACATCGGGACCAAGAGAAGTGTCAGAAGAGCCAGGTACCCACCCAGGAACCCACTCGGGTCATCCCCATCCCCATCAGGCTGTGTGGCTTGGAAAGTCTGGGGAGGAGACAGGGGAACTTCCAAAAGAAGACGATTTCAGGACAGGACTGAGAAAGGGCCTCCGGGGTTACATCTAGCTCAGCGAGACTTGATTTCCCCATCTGTGAAACAGACACAGTCAGCTCATAGGGAGCTTAGGGCAAGGGTCCTTCTAACACTCCTCCTGCACTGTGGTCAGGGCTCACGTTCCTGGATGTCAGGGATGTTCCCTACCTCCTGGGGTCCCAGCACATCACACAACAACTGGCATATAACCTCTAAAGGATGCTCTTGAATTGGGTGCAAGTTCCCCACCCCCCCTCCGGCTCCACCCACTCTCATGTCCCCGACAGCCCACACGAGCCTTCCCCAGGACAACTCAGCGTGGTAGGTCAGCAAGGACCATCCTGCGGATCAGAAATGAGGCAGTTCCGACAAAGCTGTGCAAGGATGCACACCGCTGTTCACCACACTGCAAAAGACAGCGAGGGACAGCCCCAGCAACTCTGGTAAGCATCTCTTATCGTTTGGCTTGTGAACGAGCACGTATTGAGGTTGTGATTGTAAAATGTAATAAAGTTTAATAAAAAGAAAAAAAAAAGCGGGGTGCCCAGGTGGTTCGGTCGGTTAAGCATCCGACGATTTGTTTCGGCTCGGGTCACGATCTCATGGTTTCGCAGAGCCCACAATGGGCTCTGCGCTGACAGGGTGGAGCCTGCTTGGGATTCTCTCTCTCTCTGTCTCTGCCCCTTCCCTGCTCACGCTCTCTCTCTCTCAAAATAAATAAACATTCATGAAAGAAAAGATCACGCTCTCTCTCAAAATAAGTATTAATGAAAGAAAGAAAGAAAGAAAGAAAGAAAGAAAGAAAGAAAGAAAGAAAGAAAAGAAAGAACAAAAGAAAGAAAGAAAGAGAAAGGAAAGAAAAGAAAAGAAAGAAAGAAAGAAAGAAAGAAAGAAAGAAAGAAAGAAAGAAAGGCAAAACCCAGACTTAGTGGGGGGAAATGACACTTGGAAGGCCATAGGCACTGGACGGGTCATTCACCCAGACCACCTTGGGGGGCTCTGCTCTTCTCCTTTGATTTGTGGGAAATGGGGTCAGAGGAGGGCGTTCTGGGGAGGTTCACGAGAAGGTGCTAGGCTACAGTTGTCTACTGCCTGAGGTTGGGGAGGACAGGATCAGGGAGTAGTCAGGTAGCAGGGAGAGGGGTGGGGGGACCAGGCCTCGAACACTCACCTTGATAGATGACCATACCAGATACCCCTGTCCCAGCCCCTGAGATTTGCCAGAGCCCCTGGGGCAGAGTGGGGACGATCTGGACGTGTCCAGCAGAAAGGCTCAGGCAGCTCAGCAAGGAACTGGAAGGGGGCACTGTGAGAGACAAAGGCGGTGAGGTGGGATCCTCTGGAGCACCTGTGTCCGTCTTCCTGTTTTTGTGATTATTTGCTTGCCACCTGACTCCCTTTCTAAAGGGCTCTGATGTCCCCCAGAGCGGCAGCTGTGTCTGTCTCGCCCATGGCGGTGTCCCCAACACCTAGCGGAGTGGCCGGGCACAGGGAAGGTGCTTAGTTCATAGCTGACCAGTCCCTGCTATGTCTCCCAGGGATGTGTCTCCTCCCAAGGCACATTCTCCGGCCCGGGCTGAGCTGATGGGGACCCAGAGGATGGGACTGGCTGGGATGGAAGCGGGTGACATGGACGGGGTGGGGGTCCTGTCCCCGGCCGCCCCTGCCTTGGCCACTCTTCAGACACCCCCAGGGGTGGGGGGAAGCCTACCCCCCCCTCAAGTTCCTAACCTACCAGGCATCAGGATGGTCTCTTCCAGCCACCTCTGGCTGGATGCTGGCTCCTTGTTGAACACAGCAGGGGGTGACAGGCAGGGCAGAGCTGAGGAGTCACTCACGGACCCCACCAGGAAAGTGCCAGTCACCATGGGCACAGCGAGGGGCTCAGCTGTGAGGAAGGAAGTCCTATCAGAATTAGAACTTTCTGAGGGCCGGGACTAGGCTTCCTCCATTCGACTATGAGCTGTTGCCTCACTCCATCCCCGCTCAGGGGCTGGGCTCCCCACCTTTGCAATAACAACTGGCTGGGAGAAGGCGTGGACCCGGGGGAGAGGCTCACTGAGGCACGGGGGCTCTCAGGAGGCCAGAGGGTGCTGGGTGACCAGCTGACTCTAGGTGACCCTGTACTCTAAATGGACCAGTGTGGCCTGAAGGGTCAGCGGAGCAAGGCAGGGGGCAGGGTCTCAGCTCTGACTCAGAATTAAGAAGAGGGGGTGTCGGGGGAGAGGCTTTGTAGGAGAAGCTGAATCTCTGAGCAGCCCTGAAACTGCAGAGCAGCGGCTATGGAATCATGATCTTGGTCTGAATCCCAACCCCGCCTCTCACTGCCTTGTGATCTCGGACAAGTGACTTCACCTCTCTGAGCCTTGGCTTTCAACTGCCAGTTTCTACATGCACCTAAAGAGGCCCTGGCTTTCCTGCCTCAAAGTGTCCCTGGGCACCCCCCACGCGGCTCACCCAGCTTCCTGTGCTTCGAGTCCATGGGCAGCTCCTCTGGGAAGGCTGCAGAGAGAACATCACGGTTAACTGCCCCAAGGAAGGTGTGGCCCAAGCCATGAGCGGCTCATGAACCCCAGCAGCCCGTACGGCCTTGCCCAAACCCCACCTTTCTTTGAGAGAGAGAGTAAGAGAGAGAGAGAATCTCAAGCAGGCTCCATACTCAGCATGGAGCCCAACATGGGGCTCGATCCCATGACCCTAGGATCATGACCTGAGCCGAGATCAAGAGTCAGACGTTGAGCCGACTGAGCCACTCAGGCGCCCCTGCCCAAACCACAGCTTGCGGCACCCAGGGAAATGAGGCACTGGCAGAACGCCAGTGTCCCTTCCTAGCTGTATGTCCCTTTGGGTCCCTTCCTAGCTTTATGTCTTTGCAACGTGGCCTCTGTGAGCCTTTGATGGCTCATCTGTGCAACGGGGGAGGGGATCCCTACTTTGCAGGAGCACACTGGAAACCCACAAGGTAAACATCCAGCCCCAGCACACCAAGGGAGGAAAACCCTAAGCGTCCCTCAGCAAGGGGCTGATGAAACACATCATTGTTCACCCACTCAGGGACATTCCACACAGCCCTAAAAAAGAACGAGAAGAATGTCCCCAGAATAAAATGAATGGATGAGTGGGTGGATAAAGACGGACAGATGGATAGAGACGTGTTAAGGCAAATAGAGCCAAACATCAACTGTAGGATGTTCGTGGTGCATACGTGGTTGTTGGCAACACGATTCTTTCACCCTTACTGTATGTTGAAAAAGATCACGATAAAATGCCGGGGAAAATATTTATCAAATTAAAAAAAAAAAAAAAGCCAGCAAGCAAGAGGAACTTTCCAGAGGCACAACCACGTGTTCTCCATCAGGGACACAGAACTGACCTCCCAGACACGTTAAATGAACGTGCAGAACGGCATTTAGTAAAACTGTGATGATGTGTGTGGGAAAAAAAAAAATTTTTAAAGAGTTGGCTGATAGACAAATAGAATATTTCCTTCTTTTATGTTTATTATTTATTTTGAAGGAGACGCAGAGAGAGTGAGCAGACGGAGAGGCAGAGAGAGAGGGAGTCCCAAGCACGGCCAGCACAGAGACCAACGCGGGGCTCAAACCCAAGAACCGCGAGATCATGACCTGAGCCAAAACCAAGAGTTGGGTGCTCCACCAACCGAACCTCCCAGGTGCCCCCAAGACAAACAGAATATTTCTAACAGGGTAAAAAGCAAAGTGGGAACATGGGTTGTTTTCAGGCGGGGAAACTGAGGAGCTGGGGGACAGGGGTGGGAGGGAGATCGGTTTTCACTGAATGTTCTTTGCACCTTCTGAGTTTCTACAGCATTTCTCTAGCCTGCCCCTGCTCTACCTGTCCAAAAATGAAGACATAGGTATGAGTCCGACAGAAGGTCCAGAGCACTGGAAGTAATCAACTGTTAAGCCCATTTTACAGATATTTGCGGTCAGCGGACATTTAGTGACGGGCTACTGCAGGCACTGTGTTAGATTCCTGGGATGCAGTAATAAGTAAGGAAGACACGGCCCCTGTCCTCAGAGCAGGGGACTAGTCTAAAAGGCAATACATACAATAAGTCCGGAGTGTGGCAAGCGCTAAGGGGCGAGGAGGGACACAAAGTAAGAATGAGTGAGGCGATCTCCGTGGAAGGGGAGTCAAAGCAGGCCTCCAGGAGGAGGTGACCGGTTAGCCAAGACCTAAAGAATGCAAAGGAGCCCGCTTGGGAAGACCTGGGGAAAGGGCATCCCAGGCTGAACAGCAAATCCGGGGGGCCCTAAGGCTGGGAAGCGTACGTGCGTTACAGGAACGGAAGGCAGCCAGCGTGGCTGGGGGTACTAGCTCGTGGGAATTTTCGAGAGGTGGGGAGGGCCAGACTGTATAGGCCTTGTGTATGCGTTTTGTGGCCATTGGAGGGCTAGCAGGACAGCAAAATGATCTGGTTTGCATGGAAAAGCCCGTGTTGACTGCCAGGTGAGGACACGTTAAGCAGGCCTGGAGACTGAGCAGGAGGCTCAGAGAGGCGCAGGCACTTTGCTGAAGGCCACACAGACCATAAACAGCAGACGGAGGATTCGACCCCAGTTCTTGCTGACTCCAGAACCTGTGTTTGAAGACACCTCCCTCAACCACAGGGTCACCAGGGGGGAGCATGAGGGGAACGGTGGGTGGAACATCCAAACCCAGCAGAGCAGACAGGACTTAACACGGGAAGCAGCCGGGAGCCACGGCGGGCTCTGGAGCCAAGGCACGGCCAGGAGTCAGGCAGGCTGAGGGCAGATGAGCGAGGGGCCTACTTACATCTTTTCTGGCTTTTCTTTTCCTCCAGCGTCTCCACACTCTCGCCGATCACTTCTTCCAATCCTATATGCTCGACTTTGGAGAAAAACCCAAGACACCAACATACGGTCAGTGGGCGTCCAAGGTGAGCCTTCACTGTCCCTGTATCGGGGCGGGATCTGACCACCCTTCAGAGGGTGACCGTCAGGTGTTACGACGCTCCCCAAGGAACAAGGAGGAAAGAGACGCAGGCTGAACCAAGAATCCCCCAACTTACTGAAAATGCCTTTGCTCAAACCCTCCAGTTGTGAGTCCTGGAACACGTACTGGTCCAGTTCCGCTGCCAAGATTGAGAAAAGGGCAGTCGGTCAATGAGTTCTCTGAATGCCTTGTGTGCCAGACCTTGGGGCAGGCACCAAGGAACGGTGGCCCTCCGGGCTTGGCACACACAGTGTTTGCAGAATGAACGATCACACGAACGAAGGGACACGGAACCTTCCCGGGCTCTGAATCCCACTGAAGGGATGATACGCACCCGTGAAAAGTCACCTATTGCCATAAAGTAGTACAGTGCAGTATAGTACGGTTGTCACAGGGTTTTGAGTTTAAATTCAGCTCCACACCCATTAGCCCCATTAGCTGTGCAAACTTGAGCCAATCGCTTAACCTCTCGGGGACTCGATTTCCTCATCTGCGTGATTAGAACGCCTGATGCCTACAATCCAGGGACGGGTGGTCTGGATTAGAGGCTCTACTTCCGAGTTAAGGCATCACGCGCAGGCAGCCAGCATACCGTAGGTGCTCTTTGCAAAATCCTTCCCTAAACACTTTACACCAAGCAGCTCATCCAATCCTCAGACATCCCACGAGGCAGGTGTGATTAGGTGATCAGTATACCCATTATGCACCTAGGGAAGCCTTCTTCTAGACCTATGCCAAGATGCTTAGATGACTGCATGCTCAGGCCAGGGCATGGCCTTCTAGAAGCACAGAGAAAGCCCACAGACTCGAGGGACGGACTTGGATGAAGCTTCTGCTTCCCTGGCTTTGGCCGCTTCAACTTCCTGGGAAGATGCTCTCGAGCAGAAAAGCCCCTAAATCCTAAGGAATGCTCAAATCCTTCATCAGTGCCCCCAGTTGTGAAGAAATATGAATGCCCTCAGCACCAAACACTTCTGCTTCCTCAAGTAAGTTCCCAGGACGGAAAGGAAGCGGGCAGCCTTCTCAGTTCTGTAATTTTTGAGACACACACAGTTACCACTCCTCTCCATTTGCTGCTTTGTGTGCTACTGGATTAACTGTGCACTGGGGGAAGACTGGCCACATTCATGCTGAGCACAGACCTGCTCAGCGTTGTGGTTCTTGGGTTGCCAGGAAAAGGGCCGCTAAGAACAGTTGTGCAGGTTGTTCACTGTACCCGGGTGCCCAGCAAGAGGACAAATGGAGGCCGCATCCTCCGAAGAAGGGACACCTTTTTCTAATTCAACAAAGCCTCTGTATGAGATAGTGGTGATCTTGCTGAGGAGGGAGACTTTACCCTACTCCCCTCCAAAACACACACACACACACACACACACACACACACACACACACAAAACAAACAAAACAAAAACAAAAAAAACCCAAAAACAATGGCAACACCTCTCTCCAAAGAGTTCTGCCCTTATCGGAAAGCAGAGCTCTTTTTAAAGCTGCAAATCAGCCTCTCAGCTTAAGCCTTAGAGAACCTCCCCACCCTAGACACTTTCCTTTTTGTGGCTAAAAATAAAGACTTTGAAATGAGAAAGACCTAGGTTTAAATCTCACATCTGCCCATCACTATCTCTACTGCAGCCTTGGGTACACGGCTTCGCCTCTTTAAATTTCAGTTTCCTCATTTGTAAGGTGGAGATACTAATAATGTCTACTTCCTTCGCTGTAAGGATTCAATGCAGTAACACACACACAGTGGCAGCACGTAACAAGGACCCCCCAGATGGTAGATACGACAAATACTAGAGTAGTTTGGCTTAGGAGCTGGGGAGAAAGGGGGTGGTGCATGGTAAGGACTGTGTAGAAGGAAGGAAAGAAGGGCAAGAAATATAAAAGGGTATAGAGGGGCGCCTGGGTGGCTCAGTCGGTTAAGCGCCTGACTCTTGGTTTCGGCTCAGGTCATGATCTCACATTTCGTGGGTTCGAGCCCCGCACTGGGCTCTGTGCTGGCAGTACAGAGCCTGCTTGGGATTCTCTCTCTCTCCCTCTGCCCTTTCTCTGCTCCCTCCCTCTCTCTCTCAAAATAAATAAATAAACATTTAAAAAAATGTATAGATACGGAGGCAGAGGATGTAAAGGTGAGATCTGGTTTGCCTGATAGTTAATAGCGAAGGGATCGATTTCCCTTACTGTTCTCCATCTCCCTTCTTCCCTGGAGTCTCTGTTTTCTAGCCCTTGGTCTGCATCCCCCTGGTCCTGATTTATGAGGGAGGGGCCTGTTGTGGCTCTTGGTGAATGGATGAGGTTAACAAAAGAGAAAAAGGAACTCTTCCCCTCGACTGGCCTTTTTCTGGGTTCAGAACGCTTCCTCACCGATATTGGCATAAGCCTCCCTGGTCTCTTCATCACCTTCCATGTCACACAACAGTCTGCTGAACTGCTCGCAGTTGATGGTGTCCATGTCGGGTTCTGGAGGGAAAAGTCCCTTGGATGAAGCAGGAGAGAGGGCTGGTGGGGATGGAAGGAGAGGCGGGGAGGGGCCGGGAGCGAGCCCAGGGGTTTGGAGCTGTCCGTGGTGCTGACCAGAGCTCAGCAGCCAGAACGTCCCCTGCCGGCTAACTGTGCCCATTGCAGGCTGAGGGGGTGAGGAAGGACTTGGGAGGGGCCAAAGGGAGGAAAGCCCACCTGAGCAGAGCTCAATCTCTTCTCTAGCCGGGTCCATCTGGTCACAGAAGTGATAGAGCTGCAGGGGGTCAGCATTGCTGTTGAGAAGCTCCAGGTAGCCGCCTTCTAGAGGCCCCAACTCCATGGCGGCACACTGCCCACTGCCTGAAAGGAAGACACGTTCAGTCATCGCATGGAGTGTTGGAAAGGTGTAGACAGTTAACCTACCACAGTTCCTAGCTGGGTCACTCGGTGAGGGCCAGGGCTTGGGAGAGCCAACGAAAGTGAGCAAAGGTGCTCATTCGTCACCTCTTACGTGCTCAGGGCAGTGGAAAGAGGAAGCTATATTTCCTTCCTCTGAGGAACTTATGGTCACTCTGGGAAGATGCCCATGATGCAGGAAATGTGCCTGGGGAAATTTAGATTCAAGGCATCTTACACCTGGGAGCCAGGAGTCTTGGGTTCCACAGATGGCACTACCATGAGTGACAACAGGTGAGATTTGTAGACCGCCTACCATATGTCAGACACATGGGCTAGCACATTCAATTCTCACATCAACAACCATATGAGGTAGACGCTATTACTATCCTCATTTTCCAGATGAATAAACAGGCTCAGAGAGGTGAAGTGACTTACATAAGATGACCCAAGTCCAAGGGGCACTGGAATTTTGTTCTGGACAGTCTGATGCAAGGATATGCAATTAAGTGTTATGCTCTACTGCCCTGGGTGACCTTGAGCAAGTCTCTGCTCCTTTCTGTGCCTCAGTTTCCTAATATGTAAATTGAAAATTCCTAATCTGTTGAGGCAGATTCTAAGAATCTTCGTTTGGTGAAGGGCGTATCAGATACCTTAGATATTACTTCAATTCAATCTTCCAAATACCCTGGACATGTCCACATAAAAACTTGTATATGAAAGTTCATAAATGCATAACTCATAATAGCCCAAATATGGAAACAATTCAAATATCTACCAATGAATGAATTAAAAAATGTGATAAATCCATACAATGGAATACCATTCAGCCATAAAAAAAGAATAAAGTACTGATACGTGCTACAACATGAATGAAACTTGAAAACATTATACTAAGTGAAAGAAGTCAGACACAAAGAGCCATATATTGTATATTCCCATTTATCTGAAATGTACAGAATAGCCAAATATTTACAGATAAGTAGATTAGTGGTTGGCTAGGGTTAGGAGAGAGTTGTGGAGAAAATTGGGGAGCAACTGACCATGAGGGTGGGGTTTCTTTTGGGGGGATGCCAAAAGTGTTCTTTAGCTGACTGTGGGGATGGTTGCACAACTGTGTGAATATACTAAAAAGATCACCGAATTGTGCATTTTATTTTTTTAGATTTTTTTTTTGAGAGAGAAAGCACCTGTGAGTGTGGGAGGGGCAGAGGGAGAGGGAGAGGGAGAGAGAGAGAATCCCAAGCAGGCTCCACTTCCAGTGCAGAGCCCGATGCAGGGCTCGATCTCACAACCCTGAAACCTGTGCCAAAATCAACAGTTTGAGGCTTAACTCACTGAGCCACCCAGGCGCCCGCGAATTGTGCATTTTAAATGGGTTAATTGTCCGGTATGTGAATTACCTCCCAATAAAGCCATAAAAACAAACGAAACACTGACCCTGGAAGATAAGCATTATTATCTCCGTTCTTCAGATGACCAAGTAGCCTCCCAGATATGCGCAGTTCTTGCTGGCTAGCATCACTCTGAAGCCTTGTCTGTGTGGCTCCAGGTTTCTGCCCCATTCCTAGTGGTCTATGAGTCCATGTAGGGTTCATTTCCTAGAGCTGCCTAAGTGGCACCATAAAACTGAGGAGCTTAAAACAACAGAGCCTTAGTCTCTCACAGTTCTGGGGGCCGGAAGTCCAAAATCAAGGTGTTGGCTGAGTCGTGGTCCCTCCAGAGGCTCTAGGGGAGAGTCACTCCTTGCCTCTTGAAGTTTCTGGAAACTGTTAGCATTCCTTTACTTGTGACCTTGTGGCTGAATCACTAAAATCTCTGCCTCAAAGGTCCCACTGTCATCTCTTCGTGTCTCAAATCTTCTGCCTAACTCTTAAAAGGATACCTGTCATTGGATTTAGGGCCCAGCTAAATCCACCATAATCCAGGATGATCTTATTTCCAGAGCCTTAACTGAATTCTACCAGCAAAGACTCTTTTGCCAAATAAGGTCACATTCGCTAGTTCTATATATATTTTGGGGGCCACCATTCAACCTCCTATCCATGAAAAGCAGATGCTTGCTTGAAAGAATCAGACACAGTTTCTTGGAAGAGGTGGCAGGAGAGATGGCCTTGAAGGCCAAAGGACCTGACAGAGCCTTCTGAGTGCCCCTGCCTGGGTCACAAGAAAGTGGGGTTGAAGTGGGAAGGACAGCAGAGGGTAGGACCATGAGAAAACACACACACACACACACACACACACACACACACACACACACACCTCACCAACACAACACCTTCCAGCTGCTTCTTTTCATTTGACTCATTAACAACGTTCACCACTTATAGAGGGTCTCCATATAGACCACAGATATTACAGAGAATGAACTTTCCAGTCCAACATGTGGCCCTGGCTGGGGCTGCCTGTTGATAATGGGTTGGGTGGGAGCCCAATCATAACCCAACAGGAACCCAAACATAACAGACTTGCCTCAAAGGCCCAGCCAGCCTTGACTGGAGGAAGCAGAACTGAAAGATGGGGCCACCTCCCTTTTCTTGTCGTGAGACCAAGCCTGGGGGTTGGGGGAGAAGAATTCCACCACTCCCAGCACATTGGCCTGAGAACCACACAGAAAAATCTACTGTTCTCTCTGGGGAGGTAAGAAAAGAACTCCCTTCCTTAAAACTTGCCTGCGGCCTTCTTCCCCTTTTCAATCCGAGCTACTTATCGACAGCTTATATCGTAGCAATCCGCCTCTTTTTCCAGGCAGCAGGGTCACCTGGTGACAACAGCTCTGGACTGAGCCCAGTAATTTCACGACTGAGTTGGGTGACTTTGGTCAAGTTACCAAAACTGTTTTTTCACAGGGTAACAAACAGGTCTGCCAGGGGCCTTCAAGTTCAACCTCCTTCACTCTGCAGAGGAAATGAGACCCTGAGAAGGCACATAACTCATACAAGGTCCTACAGCCTGTCTCCGGCCGAGCCTGCACCTGTCCCTCCCCAGAACAAGACTCTTAGTCCACTGCTGTTTCCTGTCAATTGAAACGTTCCCATTCAATGCACAGCCCTGATCATATCTAGGCCTAGGAATAGGGACCAGGTCCTATCACAGATGGGTGATGGCAGGGAGTGCAGAAGGGAGGAGCTGGGAGAAGGTGAACCCAGCCTCACTTATTGACGGACTCAGCACCAAACTTTGGACAGCGACACCAAATGCCTTCAAACACCAGAGAAATACACCTGACGGAAGAGATAAAAAGCCAACTTGTGTGAGCTCTGGAGTCAAACGGCCTGCGTCTGAAACCACTCCTACCTACCAACTCGCCACAACCAGGGCAAGTTCATTGTATAAACCTCTCGGAGCCTCAGTTTCCTCATCTGTAAAATGGGAACAATAATTGGTCACCCATGAGGATCAGGTGAGCTAATTCTCGTAAAGCCCTCAGAAAGGCGACTTGCCCTTAGTAGGCCCTTAGTGAATTGTGGCTTAGAAGGGTATTGGCGCATGCGTGGTGCGCACAACGTGGGTGATGGCCATCGTTACCGTCGTCCTTATTATTATCAATTTGCTTCTAACCTCTGGGAGGTGGACAAAGGGACTCTTTCTCTTTCATTCCTGCCTAAGTCACCACATGGGGAAGCCAAGCTTTCTGTCCTTTGACTCAAGGAGACCCCGCGGACCCCACAGGAACTAGAAAGCCCCATGGCCAGCAGTGGGACCTGGGAGGTCTGCTCATGTCCCCCATCACTACCTCTGAGAAGGTGCCTGGGAGAAAAGTCATCCAAACTCTGTGTCATTGGCTAAGCCCAGACAGGAAGACATCTACTCTCAGACACTCTCGACACACGCCTTAGCACCTCCCTTCCTGCTACCCCAGCATGAACCCTCCACCAGATGCACTTTCTCTTGAGTAGACAGGGGTTTGCAGTTCACAGTGGGCTTCTGCCTCCACCCCTACCCCTACATCTGAGCTCCAAAGAGCTCTAGGGAGAAGGCAGGATGGAGTATTAATGCCCATTTGATAGAGGAGGATACTCAAAACTTCGGTGACATGGCTTGTCCTTGGTCACCTGGGTGGAGGGTTTGAGTTTGAATCAAGGCTGGGAGGCATTAAGTGGGTGACTTAACCTCTCTGAGTATCAATTTTCCCACTACTTGATCGGGATAATGACACTTCCCTTGTGGGACCAGTGAAAGGCCAAGAGGGGTCTCGGAGGCCTACAGGAGGCCCACGGGCAAAGGAATCCCATCGTGTTGGGACACTGCAGAGCTGGGACTCAGTCCCAAGAGTCTAGTCGCCCAAATCCATAGAGCCTCCCGTTCATGCCAAGATCTACGCACATCTTGACTTGGGACCTCCCAGTATTCCCACAACTATGTTCCCTATGCCTCTAGATGTTTAGGAAGTGCTTCAGAGGCCCCTAATTGGACTCTTTCCCCCAAAGTGCCACTCTAGAGGGGACTGGGGACAGAGATGGCTCAAATCACCCCACTGCAGAGGAGAGAGTCCCCTTCAGTCCCCGAGAGTCCCCGGGGCAGATCATACAGGCCAGGAGTCCTGCGAGGGCAGGAGCCCTGTCTACAGGCCCTAGCCCTGTCTAGCTCACTGATCCCCAGGCTCCAGCATGTTCCTGCACGCAGTGGGCTCTCTCCCTCCATAGAAGTGCTACGTCACTAGAATTCACAGATGCCTGCTGAATGCCAGGCAGCAAATGCCATGATGTGCAGACCTCATCCCATTCAGTCTAGCACACACGTTTGCGATCCGTATTCCCATTTCTCGGGTAAAGAAACAGGCTAGTGATCTGGGATCTGAACCAACTGCTTGGCTCCCAAGTCACAGCCCCTTCGAGTCACTCTTGGTCCCCAGCCGCCCCGGGGAGGTGCCCTCGCCTGGTGAAAGAAGGCGTGGGTGGCATGATGGTTTCTCCTTTTGAGGAGCTGTCTGGGGCACAGCAGAGAAGTGGTCTGTGTCTTTT